TTTCACACACACACACACATATACAATCTTTCACACACACACACACACATATACAATCCCTCACACTCTCACACTCTCTCTCTCACACACACACACACACACACACACACACACACAGCCTTTCACAGCCTCAGGACGTGTCAAGGCACTGTGCACCCAATGAAGTACTTTGCGGTGCAGTTGTCATTGTAACGTAAGAAAAGTGATGCAAAACCATGTTTACCAATAGCAAGGAGATTACGATCAGACCATCCGGTTTCAGTTTGGTGGGTGGGAGGTATTGAGAGGGGTTGGGGAGGATGTTAAATACTGACCTCACCAAGTAGGAATACATTCTCCCAAGAGATAGTAGGAACTGCTAACTGCTACTTCTCCCACCCTTCTTTGCACAAGTTGCCATGTCAGCAATCACATCACATCTGAAAGACGGCACTTCCGATAGTGCAGCACTGAGGGTGTCAGGCTGGCCTCTGTGCCCTGAAATCTCTGAAGCAGGGGCCCCGAGACTCATACCAAAAGTACAAAGCACTCAGGCTCAGCTATCTCCAATGAAGAATTATAATACAGGGAAAGCTGTGATGTGTTACCCTCACAGACAGTTTGTCATTGCAAAATAGAAGCTAGATACTAAGGGCTCCTGTGGCACAATGGTAGTGTCCCTACCTCTGTACCAGGAGGCTCAGGTTCAAATACCACCTTCCCGAGATGTGTAATAACATCACTGAACAGCTTGCTTAGAAAACAAAGGCTAGACAATGCCTTGTGAGACTAAAGCAGCTACAGGCATCTCTGCAAAAAAACAGTCAACTGCATGTTTTCAGATCTGATTTCTCCACCATTGCAGGTTTTTTTAATCGTTGTGCAGCAAGAGGAACAATAAAAGCCCGAAGTGTTTGAAACACTCAGCGATAAAGGCAGCATCTGTGGAGGAAGAGAGAGAGAGAGATGGTCAATGATTCAGACTTTGCCTCGGAATCATAGAATCTCTACAGTATGGAAACAGGCCATTTGGCCCGTCCAAATAACATCCCACCCAACGCCTGTGACCCTGCATTTCCTGTGGCTAAGCCACCTAACCTGCACATCCCTGTACACTATGGGCAATTTCCCATGTCCAATCCACCTAAACTGCACATCTTTGGACTGCGGGAGGAAACCAGAGCAAACCCATGAAGACCCGGGGAGAATGCACAAAATCCACACAGACAGTCACCTGAGGATGGAATCAAAGCCAGGTCCCTAGCACTGTGAGGCAGCAGTGCTAATCACTGGGCCACCGTGCCACACTCAGAACCGGAATAAGATCTCACATTTAGAAAATAGCTTTTACGATGTCAGGACATCCCACAGCACGCTTCATAAAATGAATTAGTTTTGAAATGTAGTCACTGTAGTAATGTGGCAAGACCAGCAGGTAGTTTTCACCCAGCCAGCTTCCACAAACAGCAATGTGGTAATGACTGGATATTCAGTTCCTGACCGAAGAATAAACAGTGGGCAGGACACCAGGCATCATTTCCCTGCTCTCCTACAAAGTAGTGGCCCTGGGATCTTTTACAGAGGACAGGAACAAAGACGGAAAATGCTGTAGAAACTGAACAGGTCGGCAGCACCTGCAAGGTAAAAGGAGAACTTGCTAATGGTTACTCTCTCATTAGAGGGAACAACTGGTGGTGGTTTTACCCAAGGATTATCACACCCCTTCTGAGGAAGGGTCACCGGACCCGAAACGTTAACTCTGTTTTCTCCTCCACAGACGCTGCCAGACCTGCTGAGCTTTTCCAGCAACTTTGTTTTTGTTCCTGATTTACAGCATCCGCAGTTCTTTTGGTTTTTATTATCACACCCCAGGTGAGGGGAGGGATGGGGAAATAATGTCCTTCATAGTAACCACAGCCAGTGCAGGAATTAAACACACACTGTTGGTATTGTCTGCATTGCAAACCTGTTGTCCAGCCAACTGAGCTAACTGATTCCTTTAGCAGCAACTACAGAGAGAAAAACACAGTTAATGTTTTTAAGTCCAGTGACCTTTCATCAGAACAGCCCCTTTCTGTCTTTGATCCAGATGTCCAGCTTCCACAATTCTTTGTTTTATAACAGAGTGTAGGATCTTGGTTTACTTCTCCAGCCAAATAGCGTGGAAATTTAAAGTACATGAGATTGGAGGTAGTGCACGGAGAAGACTACAGGACTGGTTGACAGACAGGCAACAAAGAGAGGAATAAACAAGTCAATTCTAAGTGGTAACCAGTGACCAGTGGGGTACCATAGGGATCAGTGCTAACCCTAAAGCTAACCCAGCCATTCTCAATGTATATTAACAGTTCAGATGAGGGAAATAAATGTAATGTCTCCAGGTTTGCAGATGACACAAAGCTGGGTGGGGGTGCTTGGAGGAGGTGGTGGTGAGCTGTGACGAAGATACAGAGATGCTTCAGTGTGACTTGGACAAATTGAGCGAGTGGACGAGAGCATGGCAGATGAAGTATAATATGAATAAATGTGAGTTTATCCACTTTGGTATCAAAAATAGGAAGATGGCTAAAATCTGAATAGAGTCATAAAGTCATAGAATTATAAAGCATAGAAACAGATGCTTCGGTCCAACTCATCCATGCCAACTAGATATCCTAAATTAATCTAGTCCCATTTGCCAGCATTTGGCCCATAACCCTCTAAACACTTTCTATTCCTGGACCCATCAGATGCCTTTGAAATGTTGTAATTGTACCAGCCCCCACCACTTCCTCTGGCAGCTCATTCCATACACGCATGAAAAGGTTGCCCCTTAGGTCCCTTTTATATCTTTCCTCTCTCACATTAAAACATGCCCTCCAGTTTTGGATTCCCTTGCTGCCATTTGGGAAAGGGAAAGATGCAATGAGACCTGGGTGTCCTTGTGCACCAGTCGCTGAAGGTAAACACTGCAGATGCAGTAGGCAGTGAAGAAGGCAAATGGTGAGTTGACCTTCACAACAAGAGAATTCGAGTACAGGAACAGGGACATCTTGCTGTAATTGTACAGGGCCTTGGTGAGGCCACACTTGGAGTACACCGTGCGGCTTTGGTCTCCTTAACTGAGGAGCAATATTCTAGTGATGGAGGGAGTGCAACAAAGGTTTACCAGACTGATTCCTGGGCCGGCAAGACGAACATATGAAGACAGACTGGATCCATCAAGACTCTGTTCATTGCAGTTTAGAAGGATGAGAAGATTCCCATAGAAAACTATAAAATTCTAACAAGAATAGACAGGGCAAATACAGGAAGATATTCCGAATGACAATAACCAGGGATCACAGTCTTGGGATACAAAGTAAGCCATTTAGGACTGAGATGAGGAGAAATATCTTCATCTAGAGATTGGGGAGCCTGTGGAATTCTCTGCCAAAACATATATTGTTTTCAAGAAGGAGTTGGATATAGTTTCTAGAAATAAAGGTTTCAAAGGGTATGGGGCACAAGCGGGAATAGAGTATTGAGTTGGATAATCAACATGATCATATTGAAAGGCAGAGCACACTACTATGTTCCTTTTTTCTATGTTTCAAAGTTAAAAGACAGCACCCCAGTGTTTTTCCTCAGAACTGCACAGGAGCATTAGTTCAATTGTTTCATAAGTGCGTGTGTGTGTGTGTGTGTAAAACTCTCAAATCAGGTTTGAGTCAGAGGAAAGATGCTACTCACTGACCCACAGATAGCACCAATGGAAACAGTGGAGCACTGTTGCCTGAGTGCACTGCACTGCATCGTTCCGTACTTTCAGTGTCTGGTGACACTGCAGCTGTGAACATGCAGGAGATGAGCATAGGTTCCAGGAAACAGATGGGACAGAGAATCTGCCAAGGATCCTACATGTTCCAGATGGGAGTGAGGTCATTGCAGGGAGCTGGAAGCTGACTGAGCAGTTGCATCTCAAGTGTGGCTGATGAGGTGTTTCAGAGTGGAAGAATACTACTGGAGCACGATCAGAGTGGGGGAGTCTCTGAGAACTTGGTCAGTAGCAGTGGGAAATCAGGTCAGGCTGAAATTTTGTTCTCAATGTTCAGAATTCAACTTGGAGCTTTTAAATTGGCAAAGGAGTAAACAAAGCGAGTTGGTTTATACATAAAGGAATTTAAATTTGTGCCAACTAACGTATCAATCCTTTAAATGCTAGATATTGCCTTTGCATCACTTATAGACAGGGTGGTTAAAAAGGCATTTGGCACACTTGCCTTCATTGCTCAGTCCTTTGAGTATAGGAGTTGGAAAGTCATGTTGAAGTTGTACAGAACATTGGTGAGGCCTGTTCTGGAATACTGTGTTCAGTTCTGGTTGCCCTGTTATAGGAAGGTTACTATTAATCTGGAGAGGTTCAGAAGAGATTTATCAGGATGTTGTCGGGTATGGAAGGCTTGAGTTATAAAGAAAGGCTGGATAGGCTGGGACTTTTTTCACTGGAGCGTAGGAGGTTGAGAGGCAATCTTATAGAAGTTTATAAAACGATGAGGGATATAGATAGAGTTAATGGTGGTTGTCCTTTCTCTAGGGTGGGGGATTTCAAGACCAGGGGCCAAAGTTTTAAGGTGAGAGGAGAGAGATTTAAAAAAGAAAGGAGGGGCAATTTTTTTTACACAGAGGGTGGGTCATGTGTGGAAAGAACTCCCTGAGGAAGTGGTGGATGCAGGTACAATTACAACATTTAAAAGACATTTAGATAAGTACATGAATAGGAAAGGTTTGGAGGGACATTGGCCAGGAGCAGGCAGGTGGTACCAGTTTAGTTTGGGATTATGGTCAGCATGGACTGGTTGGACCAAAGGGTCTGTTACCATGCTATATAACTCTATGATGACAACTGTGGACAAATCAGATCCCAGAATGAAACCTGGCTTGATGGATCATACGTTTATTTTTTGCTGTCAGTTAGAGTGGTAGTTAGCTACTGAAACATATTCACAAGAAGCTGCAGATATTCTTTCACAACTGATATCACTGAATTATTACAGCACAGAAAGACTCCATTCAGCTCATCATGCCTACTGGCTCATTAATTGAGCATCACCACCTAATGTCAATAACGTGCTTTTCTCCCCCATGCCATTGTACAGCAGTTTTAACCAAATAACCATGCAGTGCCCTCTTGAATTCCGCAATTGAACCTGCCTCCACTGCATTCCATGCCCTAACCTCTCACTGTGTGAAAAAGGCTTTCCTCACTTCTTTTGCAGATTACTTTGAATTTATGTATCTTGTTCTTTTTACAAGCAGGAATAGATATTCCCTGTTTAGTCTATCCAGAGAAACAGAAGCAGGCCATTCAGCCCTTTGAGCCTGCGGTACTATTCAATATGATGATGGCTGACCATCCCATTCAGTACTCTACACCTGCTTTCACCCCATACCCCATACCCTCTAATCCCTTAATGCCTAGGAACTATATCTGTCCCCTTCTTGAAAACATTCAATGTTTTGATCTCAGCTGCTTTCTGTTGCAGAGAATTCCACTCTCTGGGTGAAGATATTTCTCCGCATCTCTGTCCTAAATGGCTTATCCTGTATCCTTAGACCGTAACCCCTGGCTCTGGACTCCCTGATCATAATCTTGAAAGTCTGGGAATTTAAGTTTATTACACAGAAGGGAAGGAAATACAAACCAAGCAATTCTAGACTTAGAAGACAGTTTAGAAAGATCTTAGCTTAAACAGCAAAGCAAAGCTTCAAAAACAGAAATTGCTGGAATAGCTCAGCAAGTCTGGCAGCATCTGTGGATAGAAATTAGAGTTAAGGTTTTGGCTCCGGTGACTCCTACTCAGAACTGATGGTAGCTAGGAAAATGTTGGTTTATATGCAGAAGATAGGGTGGGGGGAGGGGGTAAGAGAGAGAAGAACAGTTGGATCCACAAAGGAGTGGATAACGATCTGGTTAGGAGGGT